AAGTAGAAATTTCGGACAGCTTTTAAGCTAAACTATTTCTAATTGAGGACATTTGTTAATGTCGATTTATAGCATTCATCAAGTATTATGACAAATACAAAAGACAGCTATGTATAAGATTCTCAAATGGTTTTAAAAGATTTTTTGAAAAATCGGCGGATACTTTTGCATCAACCCAATAGATAAATAAAAAAGATAACTTGACATATAAGAGTGATTCGTTTTACAAGACTAATTTTTTCGTCACATAAAACTTGATTTTGAATATGCTACATTTGATTAATTAATTTTAGTTGATATGTAAAATGTTATTAGTTTTTCAACAGTAATTTTATCAAATATTTTTATCATAGCACTGCTTTAACTATAGTTGCTTTTGTTTTTGGATTCTGTTCTTAAAACTTTATTTTTCATCTCAAATGATAATTAACTAGAGTGGTTAAAAAGAATTTGCGATAACAATATATATATTGTTTTTAGAGATTCTATCTTCAAATTTTGAACATTTTAAATAAGAAGCGTGAAATGGAAAAACATTCAGATTTTTCATCATTCATACTATTTTGTCTTGTTCATGTTTCGAATAAAACATACGTTATATACATATTTTTATTCAGATAGCACAAAAATCAATACAATTATGTGCAATTAGTTATATGTGCGCTGTTCCTATTGCAAAAAAAAACTAATGTCACATTATTCAAATAATATAGTTTTAGTTAATCATAATCTTATGTTCAGACTCACTCCCTAACTCTTAATAAATATTACACGATGTCTTCATGTATACAGCATGAAATAATTGATCGAACTATTCAATAGTTTAATAACAACGGTCGCCAATTCTCAAAGAATTTCAGATCGAAAAAAACATGCTTGTAAACGACCGTAAATCATCGTGTATTAACGTGTTGGATAATTCCGTATTACGATCGTATTTCTTCGTGCACGATACTAAATTCGAATTTTTGGGTGTCGATACTCTCTTTTGTTATTCTACGTAGTCATTGGTAGCATAGTTTTCATAAGGTAATTATGTTACAAATAGGAAGACATTGACGAATTTCCGCTTCTATACCCTATCCTTTCAGTTTAGAGAACATATATTGGTTATCCCTATATGATAATTGTGAAATGTTTATAAGCAAAGATAACTTTTCATTAAGATAAGTCTTGAAATACAGATACAATTGATCCAAATTTCTATTAATAAATAGGCCCAATAAGAGACGTGTCTTCTTTGCACTATTCAAAGTTGAAGTTTGATATAACAAACATTGATATCAAAATATCAAGATCTTTAAGTCGTAGAATAATTTGACATATTTCTCTGATGAAAATATAATGTGAAACCTAAGCATCTAAAATACTAATCTTACAAAATGATCAATGTCAAGTAATATCAAATCATATTATTTTGTCATTTGTTAACTTGACTTAGCAAAACAAGTTTTAAATAAGTCAGAAAAAACAATTGTTTTTCTTCTGAATTAGAAATTCTTTCTGAAAAAAAAAATACATGATATCTTATTATAAAAGTAGGTATTAAATATTGCTTTTTACACATTTTTCATTGTTTTTTCTAGATTTGAAAAAAGAAATATTGAATATATTCATTGGATTTGATTGGTATTAATTAAAAAGTTTCATCTTTTTGAAAGAAGTTTAATATTGATGTTCATATTGTTACTTTGAATCAAAACATAATCATTTAATAACAACTTTTAATATTTGACACTTGCGATAAGATAATTATCTCTGATCAAAGAGAAAGAAAGAACAAAGCTGTTACACTTCTAAATAAGTATTTTGTATTCGAAAATTTGGAACTTGTATCGAAATAAAATTTTTCTTCGATTATTTAAAACAAATCAGACCACATGTCATACGCCCTAATTAGACCGATTCCTGTATTATCTTTTGAAATTTAAATAAATTATTGTACCAAAGAGGAATATTATTGAAATTCATTATGTATATAGTTTTTTGTTTGTTTTATTTCTAGATCTACAGAAAAAGTCATATTCAAGTAGCGCACATCATCATGTTCAACTACGAAAACATTTTAAAGATATTTATTTAGTGGATCGAACATAAGTATTTCTTCCGTAAACTGTTATGATCGGAGATGAAAAAAAGGCTGTTTATAAAAGGTTTCTTGAATTTTTCTTCACAACATAAATATACGATTAACTTGTCTGTTTGCATAATGTTGTATTTTGATTAATTCTTCAATAGATGGTCATTTCGATATTTAATACAATTGTTGAGCTTGTGGCATTTGTGATTTTGATCTTGGTATCACCGTCATTGGTATTGTTCCAACTAATCCTCGTGGTCTTCGAAATTTTGTTAACATAGTACCAAGACAAATAAATGGATAAAAAATAAAAATAAAATAATTTAAAAACTCAAAATATGGTTCAAAATGATCTACAATATCTTGAGATAGACCACATATTTGTGCAAAATCTAAAATCATCATAGGTAAATTAAAAGCAAGATAAATCGTTGATATTGACATAAGTATTATAATTATTTTTCGATGCTTACGCCATTGAATTTGTCGATGATAACGAATATGATTATGCCAAAGAACACGAATAATTAATGATATACTAAATGTTGCAACAAGTATAGTAGCCAAAATATCGTTAATAATGGCATCATACAGTAATAAAACTATATTTTGATATAAACATGACGATGAACATAATTTTTCATTGTAATCATATATGTTTTCACATGGTGGAAATACCATAACGATCAAATAGTAAATAGGACAGTAAGTGATAATTAATGTTACCGGTAAATAATGAGCAAAAAATCTTTTTCTAGTAGTTGATACCCATTGATCATGAAATATTAAGATATGCCTTTCAAATGAAGCCCAAGCCATAAGAATTGTCATTGTGTCAGAAAAACCATCACCTACAAACCACCATAGATGACACATGGCTGGTGTTTGAGGCCAAACATAACCCAACCGAAGATAATTTATATATATAGGAAAATGTGTAAGCAAGTAGATAAGTTCACCAATCAATTGAATAATGACAACACGATGATTTAATGTACGACGATGCTCTTGATGACTAAGTAAAAGACAAAGAACCAATAATGAACATATAATTGATGGTATAGAAGAAATAAGAAGTATCCAAAAACGAATAGTTGGAGATATTGCTGATTCGGCATCAAAATCATCATGATTATCTTCATCAGATGAATTGAAAAACTCGTCATTGTACGAAAAGTTCATATCCATTATTGGTTAATAGAAAATTTGTTTGTGTGTGTTTGTGTTCAACTTAACTTTTTTTTTTATAAATGTTACAAACATATTGCAAAAAAGGAACTACGTAAAAATAAATGAATTGACGTTAGTAAATAAAAAAAAATTGACTTTTGAAATGTATCCTTGAAATTCTGTCAAAACCTTATTTATGATTCTATTTCTATCCATTTTCAAAAGAATCTAATTACTTTTCTGTTTGATTATTTGTCATATACACGTTTTTTTTTGTGAAAAACGACGTGAAAGAACTGTTGAAGTAAATAAAATAAAACTTTGTATTTCACCTCCTCCACAGATCATAACATACATTACTATTGAAATGTTACAGGTCGTAACACCCATTGCTGATATACGATTAAAGACTGTATATCATCAATAATGTCTCATGATAATATATGTACTACTTTCTTATTGCATTTCTGGACTTAAAGTAAAAGAATGGCGAAGAAATATGTCCCAATATAGATAGAATTAAACAATCTTCTTCTAATTAACAGCAGCAGCTACATCGTTTTTGACATTTTAATTGCGTAGAGTTTGCGGTAATAGATTTTTCTCGTTTGAAAGTTTCAAAAAACATGTTCGACAATGAGCCAATTTGGATGGTTAGAATTAATTGACAACTAAAGATCGATTTGCAAAAATCATCAGAATTATTTATTATTTAAGCTCGTCTTTTTATAATTATATTTGATCATACAAGAAAAAGCAGATATTTATTGACATGTGCATTCAAGTTTCAATTTTTTAATCATTCTATGATATGCACTATTTATATTCTAAATTTAAATAATTAGATGGAAATACTGCTAATATAGCTGAATATTAATGAGAATTCTGTTTGTTTGTTTTCTTTTCTTTTTAGTGTACTCAAAAAGTGAGTACACTACTAAAATCGGTCTGTATGTCCGGCCGTCCGGCCGTCCGGCCGGCCGTTTACACGATAACTTTCGAAAGGAGAGTCAGATTGCGATGAAATTTTCTACACAGCTTAGTCTTGACAATATCTCGGT